TGCAAAACAGTCATGTTAATGCCTAAGGATGTTAATGCCTAAGGAATATGCTTTTAAGGAATTTATATTTGGCTTATTTTTACTGGGAAGAGAAAATGTTTTGCCTATGTTTGCAGTTAAAAAGTAAATTATGGCCCCCTCCCCCAATTCAGCAACCTGTGGCCTTCCAGAAATTCTTGGGCATCAGCTCCCATCTTCTACCTTCACCATTAGCTGGGCCATTTGGGTGGGGCTGATGAAAGTTGGACTATAACCACAGTTTCTCCTATCCTGGTTTAGCATTGCGAGAACATGTTGCAGCACATGTTAGGGCTGCACATTGCATTTCCTCTGATGCAAGCATAGCAGAGAATTTGGAATTTTCCATTGTAGATTAATCACATCTGAATGTACTTTCCATACTATAAACTCTGGATGCTCAGAGATGGGGGTGTTAAGCCAATTTCATAAGCAGAGGGTTTAAAAATACATAGTTAATGTTACTGAGAGTTTAGTTTATGTATATTGTTAATCTGTGGTTTATTCTAAAAAGTGACTTTCCAATCTGGTCTTGGCCATGCTGGAGTAAAGAGTGAAAGTGAGCTCAAAGCTTGGTATGATTGAACTTCACACTATGGGTTCATTACTAGGTTATGCAAGTAATTCTTGACTTTATGACCACAATTAGGACTGGAATGTCCACTGCTAAACAATGTGGCCATTAAGTGAGTCATGCATTTATGAACTTTTTTGCCACGACTGTTAAGCAAACTGCCTTGGCAAATCAGAGGGCTGTTAAGCAAATCCGGTTTCACCCATTAATTTTGCTTGTTGGAAGTCACATTGACTTCGCTTGTTGGAAGCTTGTCGGAAGAAATGGGGCAGTCACAAAATGAGGTGGGAATGTAGTCTGGATTCCCAGGAGGGATGGGCTGCATTCCAGAGGAGCAATAATAGCAAAGTTAAGATAGTTCAGTTGAGAGGTAGAGGGCCAAGATATCTCCTCCCTAGGAGTTCTCAAAGTTCATCTTTAATGAAGCAAGTACCTGCTTTAGTTTGGCTAGATTTCTGTCTGTAGGTGAGAAAGTCCAGCCTTCACCATGATTGGGTGGCTTTGGGCCAGTCACACACTCTCAGCCCAACCTACCTCACAGTTGTTATTGTGGGGAAAATAGGAGGAGGAAGGTATGTTGCATTTGTTCACCAGGTTGAGTTATTTGTAAAAATAATAAAGGCAGGATACAAATAAAACAAACAAACACATTAAATGAAACAATAAAGGAAACGACTTAGAAGACACTCACTGTATTTCTTGGTAAGAGCCATGGTGGTGCAGTGGTTGGAATGCAGTACTGCAGGCTACTTCTGCTGCCTGCAATTTGGCAGTTCAAATCTCACCAGGCTCGAGGTTGGTTCAGCCTTCCAAGGTCGGTAAAATGAGGACCCAGATTGTTGGGGGCAATATGCTGACTCTGAAAACTGCTTAGAGAGGGCTGTAAAGCACCATGAAGCAGTATATATAATAGCAATGCTATTGGTATTGCTATTTTGGAACCTGACACAAATGGTGATCGTGTGACTCCCAGAGGCTCCAACAAGTGTCAATACATGTTGGTGTCCCAGAGTCCAAATTTTAATCACATGACCCCATGTCATCACAGGGACAGTGCAAGGACTGCCATTGTAATTGAAATTAAATGAATGGTTGTAAATCTAGACCTACCTGCAACATAATCATGATATATTCCTGACCTGTGTCCTGAGGATTCAGGGAATTCTTAGGAACACACTCAGTGTTTCTCAACCTTGCCACTTGAAGATACATGGACTTCAGCTGCCAGAATTCCCCAGCCAGCCATGTTCCACATGACCAAGGCTGAGAAACTTTGCACTCTTAAATTTTGGAAATAACTGAAGGTCTGAAGTTACATGCAAACATAGTCACTATGTACTATGCAATGATTGGCTGATAAAAAGTTGAAGTAAAGGGTGGGAGGGGAAGGAACCATTGTCCTGCTGGTCTAGATATCAGTACCATTCTAATTCCAAAATATACATGAGGCATTCTAGTATAAAAGCTGATTTAGAAAATGGCTATTCTTCTGGCTTATTGATTGAGTGAGTGAGTGAGTGAATTATTTCCAGCCCACCCTAGAGCAGTAAAATCTGAGCTTGGCACAAACGTCTTAAAAAAAATCAAAACAGTCATTATCTATAATCCACTCAGTCTTCATCAAAATGGAGAGCGATGGCATGTGGACATTATAAAGTTGAAGGCCATGAAATCCAAAGATTTCAGGACAGACTTAGAGTTGGCTTAATGTCAGAATCAACATTGATGCCAAATGGACCTGTCCACTGAGCTCCTTCCAAAACCAGAACCCCCAACTGGAGATGGTACTCCTGTATGTTTTAGCATGAATATATCCCGATAGTAGGATGCAGAGAAAGGTTTTACTGGAGGATTTTAGTACCCTGGCATTGTTATTTTCAGATATGTAAAGAGGAGCATGGAATCCAGATCAGGTGGAATAATTATTTCACTTTTCTCAGCTGGAATCTTGCCTTGTTTGGAATCTAATGTCTAATACTTGCATCATAGTCTAAAATTGGGATCCCTGAACTAGAGTTGGTTGAGGGGGGCTATCAATATTTCACTATCAGATTCTACTATTAGGAGATTTTAAGGGTTATTATGTGGAAGAGGGAGTGGACTTATTCTCTGTTTCCTCAGAGGGCAGGAATTAGAAACCCATGAGTTAAAATCTCAGGGAAATAGATTCAGGTTAGATATTAAAAAGAACTGCCTGACAATAAGGGTTCTTAACCAGTGGAATAAATAGCCTCATGAAGTGGCATGTTTCCCTTCACCAGAAGATTTCAAAATGAAACTGGATAGCCATCTATCCAAAATGCTTTAGCAGATCCTGTCCTGAGCAGGAGAATGGAGTAGAACAGAGGTCTCCAACCTTGGCAACTTTAAGACTTGTGGACTTCAACTCCCAGAGTTCTGGGAGTTGAAGTCCACAAGTCTTTAAGTTGCTAAGGTTGGAGACCCCTGGAGTAGAAGACATCTGAGATGATTCCAGTTCTTTAATTCTATGAAATCAGTCATTTAGAATGAATTGACATTTGAAAATATAAAACCGAGGCTCAAGAACACTTATTGGATACTGTTGATGTAAAAATTGAGAGTCTCCTTCTCTGTGTTTTCCAAGTCTTCTAGAATCAGAGCATCTGTACCTTGATTTATGCAGGGGACCTTTCTCAAAATGGAGCCCTCAAGATGTGCAGTGATTACACGATCCAATCTTACACGATCACTATCTGGAAATTCTGAGAGTCATAATCTTAACATACCTGGAGGGCATCCAGTTGACTAGCATACATTCATGGCCAACCTTTTTTTTTAAAAAAAAACTGTGAATGAGTTAAGAGTGATGAGCGATGACATTACTACTCCCCTCTTCCGTTCACAGATATTTCTGAATAAGCTGGCAGCGCTTGTTTTTGGCTGGATTTTAGGCGATATTTATGTATGCATTTTAACATTTCCTCTTAATTTATCATCTTTTACTTTTGGACCTTCAGAAACTGGGTACGGATTCAACAAATGAGTCATCATAACTAGTCTGCTTATTTAGAGACTAGAAAACTGAGGCTGACAGATGGCACTGTGGGCAGCAGGCCCAGAATTTATGTGGCAAGAATCAGTGTCATTAACTCAATAGTACTGTTCCATAACTTAAGACTCTTGATTCCAGTTCTGCGCTCCAGGTTCATAGGACAAACTAGTCCTATTCTACTCATTTTATTGCACTCCGCAGAAAACTATTGGCAATGTCTGTGATTGTACACCTCTTTTATTTCAACTAATCCCTAAAGAACATGTAACTTTCCATTTAAATTCCCTCTTCTGCTAGGTCATATTTGAAGAGACTCATAGAAATCAGGTTAATTCCAGAAGATCCCTTTTAATTTCAGTATGTGTGCATATATGTGTGTTACAAAGTTTCCCTAGAGAAGCAACTTGTGCAATACATTTATTGATTATTAAATTTAGATACCGGCTCCCACAATTTTGGCTATCCAGAAATATTTTTTTAAAAAATGAGAAAAAGAATTCCTGCAGAAGTCATGAAGAAATTGTCCCCATGGCTCAAAAAAGATAGGAACCCGTGCACACTGAAGCCACATTGGCTTGAAGTCTTCACCAGAAGGTGGATTTCTAGGTGGACAGCTCCTAGTGCTACCCTCAGAAGTTTGCCCTAGCTACTTATTGTTAGTACTCCATTGTCCCATTTTTTTTTAAACTACAAAAACAGTCCTGTGAGATATTGTGAGAGAGTGAGTGAGTGGTTCAAAGTCCCTAAGAGGGGTTCCCACTAGACTGCACTAGACTGGCTCTCTTACGCCATACTAGTTCATCTATCTTTTTTCTTCTTAACAACAATAGATATGCTTTTTTTTCCTCTCTGCCCCAATATAAAAAAAAAAAAAAAATCCCATGGAGGTGAGATTGCAGTTCCAAGTTTTTTGGAATGCCACCATAGTGTAGAGCCATCCCAACTCCAGTTGCACAACCATACTTTTTTTTTTTTTAATTTGATTTATATGCCGCCCTTCTCCGGAGACTCAGGGTGGCTTACAATGCGTTAAGCAATAGCCTTCATACTTTTGTATATTTTATACAAAGTCAGCTTATTGCCCCCACAAACTGGGTCCTCATTTAATCTACCTTAGAAAGGATGGAAGGCTGAGTCAACCTTGAGCCTGGTAAGATTCGAACCTGCAGAAATTGCAGGCAGCTGTGTTAATAACAGGGTGCATTAAACCACTGTACTACCAATACTGTCGCTTCTCCTCTATGGGACTGACAACACTCCAAAGAGTTAACCTGTAAACTGCCAAGATTGACCCTGGGACAACCCTGGCAGAGGAACAGCTCAGCTCTTTGTTGGAACTCTGACAGCAGTGGATAATATCTCAGCCTCTTTTTCTTTATTCTCCTTTTTTTTCAGGACACCTAAAAGCAGCCTGAAAAATAAAATGGAGCCTCGAATGCCTCACAACATGACTGTGGTGCCCAGTTCTACCATGGTACAGCCTCTTCTAGAAAGCCGGATCCCTTATGGCAGACTGCAACATCCCTTGACTATCCTGCCTATCGACCAGATGAAGACCACACATATGGAGAACGACTACATTGACAATCCCACACTGGCTCAACTGGTGGCTCAGAAGCCTCCCCGGAGCCACCACGAGCCCACCCTTCCACCACGGTGTGAACAAGATGTCACCCATCCGTGGATCTCCTTCAGTGGGCGACCCAGCTCCATCAGCAGCAGCAGCAGCACGTCTTCAGATCAAAGGCTTTTGGACCACATGGTCCCAGCTCCCGTGGCTGACCAGTCCTCCCCAAGAGCAGTTCGGCTTCAGCCCAAGGCAGTTCACTGCAAGCCCTTGGATCTGAAAGGACTCCCCTCTCTGAAGCTGGACAAGCACTTTTTGCTGTGTGAAGCCTGTGGAAAATGCAAGTGTAAGGAATGTGCCCTGCCTATGACTTTGCCCTCATGTTGGGTGTGCAATCAGGAATGTCTGTGCTCAGCCCAGAACCTGGTCAATTACTCAACCTGCATGTGCTTGGTGAAGGGCATATTCTACCACTGCACCAACGAGGATGACGAGGGCTCCTGCGCAGACCATCCCTGCTCTTGCTCCCACTCGAACTGCTGTGCCCGCTGGTCCTTCATGAGCGCCCTCTCCCTGGTTTTCCCCTGCTTGCTGTGCTACCTGCCAGCCACCGGCTGTGTGAAGCTATCGCAGCGGTGCTATGACCGAGTGAGTCGGCCTGGATGCCGGTGCAAAAACACAAACAGCGTGATTTGTAAAGCGTCCCCGGACGGGAAAGCTGACAGCAGACTGGAGAAATCTTTTTGATTGCTGGAGAGATGTTGGGAAGTGCAGGATGGGAAAAGAAAACAGAAAGGGTGTTTTGTCACCTGTGTCAAAGTATAACATATGTCAGCCTTTTGTAGGGAGGGAGGGAAGGAAGGAAGGAGGGAAGGAGGGAAGGAGGGAGAGAAATGGATATGGATATGGATATTTTGCTGTCCAAGGGCCAAAACAGACTACATAGAGCAATGTGAAGACATCTCCTCTCCTAGTCCTTAGTCCTGGCAGTTTGATCAATCTAGAGATTGCAAGAATAATCCAGAAGTAGGCTTGGCATGTACATCAGCAGATGGAAGCAGGACTTCAGTTCAGGGCCACCATCCAATTAACATATTTATAGGTTATGGGCAGTAAGGGCTAAGTTTCCCTCAAGGCTTTAACAAGAATGTTCCTTACCGCCTCATTTTGTTGTTGTAATTGTTGTGTCTGTACGTTGTAAGAGTACTCCTTTTAAAAATAATCTTTCTGAATATGTAGAAATCAGTAGCTCTTCTCAGGTATTAAGCTTCAACAGAGTATTCAAACTTGAATAAAGAGTTCAAGACTGATCAGATGGATAGATTCAGGGATAGGGCATTCTGCGCCCTCCCTATAGAGGTTTAAATGCCCTGGGTGAGCTTAACACCTGGATTAGTGCTACCTTTAACTCCTGTTGATTTTACTGCCATTAAGGCACAGTCTTGAAAGTCTGAATAACGAGAAAATATCCCAATTCTCTTCCAAAATCATCTCTGTCTCTCTGTCTGTCTCTCTCTCTCTGTTCTTTCTAGAATGATCACTACAAAGAATATATTCTAACTGATGGATTACTTCCTTATTAAGTGTTTCTTGATCTCTTGTAACAGAAATGGTGGGGAGGGGGAATTCATTCCTTTTTGCAAGTTCCACAAAGAATTCATACCAGCGGCCACCAGACTGAACTTTATCCATTCAGGTCAAGTAGGAGCAAATGGTAACATAAGGCTTTTGACGTTTCAATGCTGGAACAAGTTTGAAAGCTATGACCCAACTTGGTCATAGTTTCTAGGACTTTTAAGCTGATTTTTGCATTTCAGACGCACAAAATTCTGAGCATACATTTGAAATAGCGTATTATGTTGCTTGATCATTATTGCACATTTTTATTGCACAAATAAGATCCTGCTACGCAAAAGAAGAAGGAAAAGAAGGAAAACTGAGCTTAAGTTTCAAGGGAACTAATCTCGGTACTTTCAGGATAAATATAAGCAGCTCAATTCTCCTGAAATAAATTATACTTTATTAAATCTGATGATAGAGATGCTTGAGCTGAAGCTTAAGAATTAGCCTCTACTCTGCATCTGAAGGATTAACCCAAACCAAGCACAATATATCTGAGTATCTTGGGACAGTTAGAAATGGATCAGCACAATCTCAAACTCTCTTTGAAATGGAATCGTTTTTGACAAAACAGCATACACTCAATATTTTAATTCTCAAATTAGATAGTTGCTGCTTAATTCTCTTTTCTATAAAGCAACATGCTGCTGTTCTTACAGGAGGGTTGCTAACATTTTTTTTAAGTGTTGGGGAGGGGAAATAAGCTTGAGGGGCATATTTCTGACAAAGTGCCTACAGTTTTTGTCTTTCTAGATATCATCTATCAATATCAAACTTCCTGAACTGGTGCCCCCTGGGTAGGTTGGATTACAAGTTCTGCGGCTCCAGTGCTGACTGGGAAGGATAGAGAAAACAGGAGTGGAATATATTTGAAGGGTTGAAGGTTGGAAAGGTTAATCTCTGTACTTGGACAGCAACAAAGGCTGTTAAGATGTTTTTTTTAAGTGGGAAGGATCCCTGCTCAAGGCCAGTGGATTAACCTTATTACAAGATGCTAAACAGGAAGTCACTGACACTACACAACAAATGGGAAAGAGAGGCATGTAAAAAAAAGCTGATCTGTAAAAGTGAAGAGTATGTCTCTCTTTAATTAGAAAAGAAAAATCCATGGCACCTTTTCAACCAAATAGGATTTCTGATCCAAAATTAATCAACTATGTAGAGAGAAAGGAGGCCAATTTTATTATTATTTTAGGGATAAGCAGGTAGAGGAATATCCTCACTTTCTTCACGATGGAGGATTTATTTAGAATGGTAGATTTGGCTGGAAATTATTTTTAATATTTTTAAATGTTTCTGTTCTTCTATTTTATAGGAAAGAGAATTTGTTTTACGAGTCCTTGATATCTGAGATTAGCCTTACCAAGGAGATACTGGGGGTGGAAACCTTTGTTCATTGAAATGAATGGTGGGAGAAATCTGCAAGCGTTTTCTTCTTCCACTCATTTCAGTGGAGATTACAAGTTCCTGCTGGATTCTGCTCAGTGTGTGTTATGGATATTCTTACAAATACTTGAGAGAATCACAGGGGCATGGGGGTGAAGGCAGAGTGAGGGGGGAAAAAGAACCTTAGTCAACATATTGTTGAATGTATTCATCCCTGTCAATATTCATGGTAATGAAGTAGCATTATCGAACCATAAATGCTTTGTTACAGCATTCCTCAAAGTAGTGTCCTCTAGATTGATTAAAACGTCAACTCCATATCCTCCTGACAGCAGGGGAACTAATGTGTAAAACATCTGGAGGTCGCTAAATTGAAAATGCTGTCTGATTGTCTCTTTTGTTCCTATTAGTGTGCAGCAGTACTGATCAAGCAATATATATATTTTTAAAAAGTAGAATTCTAGCACTCTTAAGTCAGACAAAGAAGCAGAATATCCAAACCGGTGGGTCAACATTTTGACCTTTTACATTTGTCTTATTATTTCTTAGACTTTTTAAGAAAGAAAACTTGGGGCTTTTATTGTTACTGTACATAGTTGAAAACCACTTAAATTACTGCGTGGGTTTTTGAAGCTTGTTTTTAATCTATCGGTATCAATGTACTGGAGATGGATTATGTGTGAAAAAGACCATGGAAAGGGAAGACTCTGAAAATGCAAGCAGAATTTAGCTGCCAGCCTCCACAGCTTCCCCCTCCTCCTGACTATCCCTCTTGTGTAGCAGTCGGTCCGCATGTTTCTACAGTTCTTTCCTCGAGACCTAGCAACACCACTGACAACATTTTTGCCGAGCATTGAAAACTTTCTGGGTTAGTCCAGCCCAAGAAGACCCTGAACGGCTTACGCTATTCCTTTGACATGGCCTTCTTGAATGCTTTGCCTAAAAAGTTCTTCCTCAGCTCTTCTTCAAGCCTTTTGCCCTTTCCGTTCTACAGCTGATCCTTGTCTCCTCTCTCCCACTCACCCTTCTGACCACCTCACCCTCTCAAAGGGTTATAAAGACAGAACCACCACACATCTATGTGAAATTAAGATCTGACTGGCTAATCCAGGGAAACTTCCTTACACTTTCCCAGCTGGTCAGGCTGGATCCTGATTCACAAGGAAATTGTTCAGGAACATCAAAGTGCAATCTACATCAGGGGTGTCAAACTGGCAGCCCACAGCCCGGATGCATCATGTGCAGACTACGCCCACCCCGGCTCCGCAAAGGCAAAACCATCACGATACATCACGTGATGTCATGTGACGTGATTGAGTTTGACGCCCATGATCTACATAGATAAACCCATGGGAAAAGCAAGGAACCCGTAGGCCTTCCTGACAGCTTTCTGAATGGCCAGTGGTGGAAAATGCTAAAGGTTTCTTCTCCTTGATCTTCCTCTTCCTCCCCTACCTTCCCTGGGTGATTCCTGAAAGCTCCCCTCACATGGGTAGTAGCACCTTCATCTTTCAACAGGACAAACAAGAAAAATGCATACCAAGTAAGGGACATAGTTCCATCCCTTGTTCTGAGCAAACATTATTTCTTCCAAGACATGCCCGGCAGCATAATTCTATACAAAGCAAGGAGACGGAAAGTGGGCAACACAGTGGCACAGCACTTGCTATTCCTGTCTCTTGTTGCTTTAGCAAAGTAAAATAGCTGCTTTTTCAAGTTGCTGTCCTGAGCTCTGTGCATGGTTAGGTTATTTTTATTAATCTTTACAGAGAGCAGTCCAGGTTTTCCCTCTTCTTTACTTCTTTCCTCGACTGAAAAAAAAATTACCACAGAAGTTTTCCTTTGTATAGAATATTTATTTCGAAGCTCTATTTTAATAGTATTTATTTTAGAAATTTACTATTGTAAGAGTTCTTCTGTTTGTGAAGAAAAACACATTAAACTGAATGTACTGATCTAGAAATTATATATTAAATATATATTGTTAAATATGTGGCAATCTTGTGGTTTTGTTCTTGAAAAATGTTTTTGTTACTTGTGGCACTGTCATCCCACATGGCTGCTCTTGGAAGAACACTTGGAAAAATGGGAGACCATCAAAAAGGGTATAGATAAGGGGTGTCAAACTGGTGGCCCACGGGTCAGATGCATCACACACAAGCCACGCCCATCCCAGCTGTGTGAAGGGGAATAATGTTACGATACATCACATGATGGCAAGATGACCGGGAGTTTGACACCCGTAGTATAGATGGATCTAGAAAGACAGTGGCAAGTCACATTGTATGGCTACTAAGAAAAACTACCTAGATGTGTTACATCACTAGAAGTCAAACTCTGCTCAGGGAGCACCAGACTTCATACACATTCCTGTATTGACCAGTGTCTATCACATAAATACAACCCACTTAGAGCAGGACTCAAACTCTTCAGCTCATCAACCCATTCAAGGACTTACAGGTTGTTCAGCAAGCCCCAAACATTGGAAAAGCCTGACCTAGAATTTTTTTTCCCAAGGGAACACTGTGGTTTGTCTTGTAAAGACTTTCATATTGTACCTCTATGGAAGGGTACACTGTGTTCCAAATCACCACAAAGGCACAGGTGTGTTTTTTTTTTAATGGTTATCTTGTCACCTGTCCATTTTTCAATCTCAAGAAATCTAATGCAGGATTGTGCAAGATCCAATCCCAACACAGTCTGCTGGTTAAGAGTTAGAGATAGTTTTTTAAATGTTCCCAAAGTCCATAAACTATGTACCAGCCTCCCTCCTTCCTGTCTCTTCCATTTCTGCCCCCCCCCCCCCACCTTTAGGATTTCTTCTAGTTTTTATTAACTTTGAAACCTTGATCCCCTAAGCAATATTATGGCACTAAAACTTTCTGGAACTGGAATCATTCCAGCATGTATTTCTGCTTTTCTCTTGAACTGGAATAAGCAATGCTTCAGCTCTTGCTAGATGAGCCTGATCCTCATCACTCTCTGCATATCAACCAACCCCCCACCCACTCATACATTAAAATGTTATTAGCATTTACAATAATCACAGGTATACAAGGCATTTACTTATTTTTTATTGCCTTGATTTAAGTATTTATATTAGTTTATCAAAATATCAAATACAAAAATACAAAGAAAAATGAAAAAACAATGGGAAAATAGGAGAGGAAAGGGGAAGGAGAAAACGTGTAGGGTAAAAGGCGGTATACAAATCAAATAAACTAAACTAAACTAAACTAAACTAAAAGGGAAAAGAAAAAGAAAAGCATCGACTTTTTACTTTTAGGTAAAGATTCCCCTCACACATATGTGCTAGTCGTTCCCAACTCTAGGGGGCGGTGCTCATCTCTGTTTCAAACCCAAAGAGCCAGCGCTGTCCAAAGACGTCTCCGTGGTCATATGGCCAGCATGACTAAATGCCGAAGGCGCATGGAACGCTGTTACTTTCCCACCAAAGGTGGTCCCTATTTTTCTACTTGCATTTTTTATGTGCTTTCGAACTGCTAAATTGGCAGAAGCTGGGACAAGTAACGGGAGTTCACCCCGTTACACAGCACTAGGGATTCGAACCACTGAACTGCTGACCTTTTGATCGACATGCTCAGCATCTTAGCCACTGAGCCACCGCATCACTTTTTAATAATAATAACATAATAATATGTTATATATTAATAATATATTTTAATAATAATAACATATATTATTATGTAAAATTACTTTTACATAATAATATATGCTAGCCATTCCTATAACAACAAACCTATCAAATCAGCAAAACCCAAAATCAAAGTTTCATTTTGTTTCCACCACAAAGTCCAGAAGCAGTTTCCAAGTAGCAACAACATTAATTGTATTTCTTTCTTTAACCAAAGCAGTTCAATTTAGCCATCTCTGCTAATTCCATGAACAAGCCATTTTTCTGAGGTAATTGACTTGTGAGGCAGGGAGAAGCCACAGCCCATGATGACTTATCTTCTGTTGGTATGTGTGATTGTGGGCTTGTGAGTGCGCCTATGTACAAGCATCTTTACAAAAGCACACAAAGATACATATATACATCTCCGATCGCATCGCTTCCCACCCAAAGAGGAAGCTGCAGTCTTCTGAGTCAGGTTTTTGGTCTATCTAGAACTGGGCTGGACCCCTTGAGGCCCTAGGATTTCAGGCAATTTCAAACTCCTGGTTTGTGGTTCTCTAGCACCAGCCCACAAATGTCAAAATTAGGAAACACCATTTACCACCGTTCGGGGGTTAGGCATTTAAAAATATAAACCAAAACCAAGTATAGGCCTTAAAATAGATGAAATGAGTTTTTTAAAAATCCAACCTTCCACCAGAATTCAAAGGCAACCCCAGAAAACCTTGGTTTTCCCATATGTGTCATACGTGTCCTTGGTATTTTACATCACACCCAACTCGTGTCCCTCCTGGTTGGTACTGGCTTCCCGGGAGGTTACACGAGGCTGGCTCCAGGGTGTTATCAACGCTTCGTTGAGTGAGGGTTACTTCCCCACCGCCTTGAAAGAGGCGGTGGTGAGGCCTCTCCTCAAGAAGCCGCCCCTGGATCCGGCAATATTGGCCAACTATCGTCCTGTCTCCAACCTTCGCTTTATGGCGAAGGTTGTTGAGAGTGTGGTCGCACGACAGTTTCCGCAATTCCTGGAGGAAACATCTTATCTAGATCCGTTCCAGTCGGGTTTCAGGTCTGGGCACAGCACAGAAACGGCATTGGTCGCGTTGGTTGATGATCTCTGGAGGGCTCGGGACAGGGGTTGTTCCTCTGTTCTGGTCCTGTTAGACCTCTCAGCGGCTTTTGATACCATCGACCATGGTATCATGCTGCACCGGCTGGAAGAGTTGGGGGTGGGAGGCACCGTGTTGCGGTGGTTCTCCTCCTTTCTCTCCGACCGGTTGCAGTTTGTGTTGGCAGGGGGGCAGAGGTCGACCTCGAGGCCTCTCATTTGTGGAGTGCCGCAGGGATCGGTCCTCTCGCCCCTTTCTGTTCAACATTTATGTGAAGCCGCTGGGTGAGATCATCCGTGGCTTTGGGGTGAGATACCACCAGTACGCTGATGACACCCAGCTGTACATCTCCACCCCAGGCCACCCCAACGATGCCCTTGAAGTGATGTCCCAGTGCCTGGAGGCTGTACGGGTCTGGATGGGGAGGAACAGGCTCAGGCTCAACCCTTCCAAGACTGAGTGGCTGTGGCTCCCGGCATCCCGATATAGTCAGTTGACTCCATCACTGACTATTGGGGGCGAGTCATTGGCCCCCACAGAGAGGGCTCGCAATCTGGGAGTCCTCCTGGATATGCAGCTGTCCTTGGAGGAACATCTGACGGCTGTAACCAGGGGGACCTTTTGTCAGGTTCGCCTGATTCGCCAGTTGCGGCCCTTTCTTGATCGGGATTCCCTGTGCACAGTCACTCACGCCCTCGTCACCTCTCGCCTTGACTATTGCAACGCTCTCTACATGGGGCTCCCCTTGAGGAGCACCCGGAGGCTCCAGCTGGTCCAGAACGCAGCAGCGCGGGTAGTGACGGGAGCAGCATGGCGCTCCCATGTAACACCACTCCTGCGCGAGCTGCACTGGCTCCCAGTTGTCTTCCGGGTGCGCTTCAAGGTGTTGGTTATCACCTTTAAAGCGCTCCATGGCATAGGGCCTAGCTATCTTCGAGACCGCCAACGACCTCCCATCGACCCGTGCGCTCCCACAGAGAGGGCCTCCTCGGGGTGCCATCAGCCAAGCAATGCAGGCTGGTGACCCCCAGGGGGAGAGCCTTCTCTGTGGGGGCACCTACCCTCTGGAATCAGCTCCCCCCAGAGATAAGGAGAATCCAAGACCTCAGTGCCTTCCGTCGCGCCCTTAAAACCCATTTATTTAAACAAGCCGGGCTGGCTTAAGATGAAATTTTTAACTGTTTTTAAATGTTTTAAACGTTTTTAATTGGTAAATGAGTTTTAATTGGGCCAAATTTATATATCTTTTAATTGTTTTTAATATTTGTTCTGCATGTTTTTTTAATCTGGCTGTACACCGCCCTGAGTCCTTAGGGAGAAGGGCGGTATAGAAATCCAATATAAAATAAAAATAAAATAAAATAAACTCACAGCAGCCCTTGTTCTTCCACAGGCCTCCTATCACAAAAATCTCCCATTGCAGCCTTCTTGATTTGGATCAGGGGTGTCAAACTCGATTTAATTGAGGGCCGCATCAGGGTTGTGTTTGACCTCAGGGGGCCATGTGGGCGGGGCCAGGGTGGGCATGGCCAGCTCGATGTCATTCGTGTAGGGGGCTCCTGTGGGGGCCTGAGTGCACTGCCTGTGAAAATGGACCTCTGTTTTCGCCGGCAGAGAGCTGCAGGAGGCTGTTGCAGCCGAAAATGGATCTTGGGAGGACCACGTAGGGCCCTCCCAAGCTCTGTTTTTGCTGGCAGAGGCGCCACAGGCTGGTCCTTTGCTGTTTCCAGAGTGGCCCCTGGACCAGATTTAAGCAATCCGTGGGCCAGATGCAGCCCACAGGCCTTGAGTTTGACAACCCTGATTTAGATCAAGATTGTTGGCACAGAAAGGGGATAGTTTTTCATGTTCTTATTGGAGTTTGGGAATGGGCATTTAACCAATTTCCGGGGGAGGTGGGAGGTGTCTGCATGGAGGTGGTTGGTCAAAATAGCCAAGATACCAGCCACAAGCACACAATCAAAGCTTGTCCTTTTTATGCACACTCAAGGCCTTCTACCATGACTTCTCATGAAGGTAGCTTCTTTGAGACTTGGATTTTCAGATGGAAAATCTAGTGTTACATGCCAGGGTTTTCCTAACTGACTTTTCTTGTGAATGTGAGGTGGTTCCATGAAAGACTAATGAAGAAAAATGAAGCCAGGTTTCCTATCACTAGAACTTTCCTCTTGATCTGGATTTTAGGATTTATTTTTTTAACTAACAAGTTCTGTGGCCTGAAAAAGTTGAAAAACCCTTCATTTTAGAATCCTGTTTGAAAAATTACACAAAGCTATAAGAAAAATGCTTCATTTGGTTTAGCAAGTGTGAATTCAGTTCAGTTCAGTGATGGGTTGCCCCCGGTTTGCACCAGTTCTATAGAACCAGTAGTAAAACCAGTGGGAGGCTCCGCCCACCGACCCCGACGTCATTAGAAAGCTTCTGCGCATGCGCACGGCCCCGTTGAAAACCAGTAGGAAAGGTAAGTAGAACCCACCCCTGGTTCAGTTGTAGTTTATTCAGCAAATCATGATTAGCCTAACTATGGCTTGGCCTACTGCGTAAACTTACCCTTGTTATTTTAAATAGGAAACCTGGTTAACTACAGGTAATCCTCGACTTACAACAGCTCATTTAGTGACCGTTTGAAGTTACAACAGCCCTGAAAAAAGGAACTTATGATAATTTTTCACACTTATGACCATTGCAGCATCCCCCCCATGGCCACATAGTTTACATACAGATGCTTGACAAATGGTTCATATTTATGATGGTTGTACTGTCCTGTCGATTTAATTGAGGGCCGCATCAGGGTTGTGTTTGACCTCAGGGGGCCATGTGGGCGGGGCCAGGGTGGGCATGGCCAGCTCGATGTCATTCGTGTAGGGGGCTCCTGTGGGGGCCTCTGCCAGCAAAAACAGAGCTTGGGAGGGCCCTACGTGGTCCTCCCAAGATCCATTTTCGGCTGCAACAGCCTCCTGCAGCTCTCTGCCGGCGAAAACAGAGGTCCATTTTCACAGGCAACTTTTTGCAATCTTCTGACAAGCAAAGTCAATGAGGAAGCCAGATTCACTTAACAACCGTGTTACTAATTTAACAATTAAAGTGATTCACTTAACAAATGTGGCAAGGAAAGTCGTACATTGGGGCAAAACTCACTTAATACATTTCTCACTTAACAACATAAGTTTTGGGCTCAATTATGGTGATAAGTCAAGGACTACCTATATCAGTGGTGAAATCCACTTACTTTCGCTATCGGATTGGGAACAGGAGTGTGCGGGAGCGCGCATGCGCCTCTTCTGTGCATGCACAGAACCTTCTGTGCATACACAGATGGTAAAAAAATGGGATGTAATGACATCCCGATGAGTGGGCGGAGCCTCCCGCTGCCGGCGCTACCAGTTCGGCGAGCCAGATAGAACCGGGGGCTGAGGGGATTTCACCGCTGACCTACAGTATATGCTAAGTGTGTTAAAAGTTAGCCTTGGTCCTATGCCACAATGAAAATAAATCTCTGACCATAACAAAAGACACACAAAAGACCAACATCTGAAGTTGAAGCTCAGACATATTTTCAGGAAGGTTTTCTTCAAAGGGTTCCTTGCATTGCATGGCTTCTCCCCGCCTCTTTCTTCAATTGTGCCTTCATAACAAAACCATTACAAATCCACTTGAAATGTTCAGTCATGACAAACGGCATTAAGGTAAGCCCACAGCTTTGTCCCAGGAGCCAGGAAGGAGGCGGGGGGAGGGCAGGGAGGGCAGGGGACATCTAGGACATCTTGTTCCCTTTTTTTCTACTTCTTCCCCCACCTCCTTCCCCCAGCAGCTGAAAAGTTGATTCTTCCCCAAGTTTAATGAAACAATATCAACGTGGCCTGAGGCAGGTGCAATGTTTGTAATTTATGGGTCTCGGAGACAGGAAGAAAGCTCTGAGGTTTATTGTGCTTGTTCACTAAATGACATTCCAGTTGTCGAGGGATCATTCTTCCTTGCTGGGCTCTCTGGCAGGCATACAAGCTGCTTCGGATCCCACCTGGGCCTGCTTCCCCTCAGGCAAGGGATAATTATGAATACATCTGTATGTGCTAAGCAGGAGATGAATGAAAGAGTCTCCTCGTTTCCCCTTGTCATTAGAAGCAACTTCCTGTATTGACACCTATATTAGCATGTAACAACTACAGGCTTAAAGCAAGCTTTCTTGGGTTTGTCCATAATCTTCTTTTAACATTTGTCTCCCTTTCCTGAAATAGCCCTGCGAATCCACTCTAGAAAATCCAATGCACTCTAGCAACCCACTCTCTATGTACTGCAGAGCTTTTTTTCCATATCAAAGGGATGTGATTGTTTGGGGGCAAGCCGAAATCTATCAAAGCACTATTAATTGAGCTCTGAAGTGACTGTGGAAACTGGTGCAGTCACATTGATGTATGATTCCCAGAAGCAATTTGGATATGAGATTTCATTCACCCCCACCTAGGATTGCAGCTTTTTCTCCTGAAATCAATACTATCGATGAAATGTGCATTTGCAAATCCAAATCTGATAGATAGAAAGTCTCTAGAAGACAAAATGTCAGCTTTTATAGGTCAGAACAATTTAGAAGTTGGAAAAGTTAAATGGTTAGGTGAAGAGTTCTAAAGTTTGCATAGCTTTGTAAAACTTTGAGATGGCCTTATTCCTAGAATTCTTTGCATTTGAAATTTCAAAAACTAATAAACTCATTTTTCCCCAAATAGATTGCGTTTAATCAGCTACCAACAAGAATCTTCTGTTGTGAGTAAGATAGAAATATTGTCTGTTAGAAAAACAAAAGGAATGTTTTAGGACAAGTTTTGTTCAGGAAAATAGCATGCATGCAATTTAATTCCTAAACTAGTAGGTTAGATTTATCAGACTATAATTGTCATAATTTATTCTGCTAAGTGCCAAAGATTGGTAGCAATAGAGCAGAGGTGTCTGCAATCTAGGGTCAAAAAAGGTAAGACAGTGGCCATAATAGTGAGATTGAATCACTGTCTGTTTTTATATATGTCCCACATGGATGCATATAAAAAACAGGAAGAGCTTAAATCACATTATAGCAGCCAGCATCCTGCCTTTTTTTTTTTGACTGAACCAGTGGTGGGTTTCAAATTTTTTTACTACCGGTTCTGTGGGTATGGCTTGGTGGGCGTGGCAGGGGAACAATACTGTAAAATCTCCATTCCCTCCCCACTCCAGGGGAAGGTGACTGTAAAATCCCCATTTCCTCCCGATCAGCTGGGACTTGGGAGGCAGAGAATAGATGGGGGGGGCGGGACCAGTCAGAGGTGGTATTTACCAGTTCTCTGAAATACTCAAAATTTCCACTACCGGTTCTCCAGAACTGGTCAGAACCTGCTGAAACCCACCTCTGGACTGAACCCTGCGGCTCTTCTTGAAAAGTAACAAAAAAATAACCCCTCCGAAGATTATTCTTGTTCTGCCTCCTTTGGTAAAGATTCTGTCAGGCGGGAAAGATCAGGTCCACATGTGAAGGTCCAACTGGTATTTTGTTAATCATGCCTATGCACAAGAATCTTCTCAACTAACAGTTAACACCTGCATGGAATTGGAAAAGGTCAACAGAATTGGGCTTTGTTCACTTGTGGCTAAGTAAGGATTGTAGGCTGATCCCTCTTTTAACTCTGACCCCAGGTTCTGCTACTCCTTCTATAGATTCATTGCTTCCTAGGTTCCCCAATCAGCAGCAAGGTTCTATGGAATCCTGATTGGTCGGAGGGCAGGATAATCTAAGAAAGGAGGTAAGAATTCTTTGCGTTTTAGAGCTCCAGAGGAAACATTGCAAAGCTGTCTCTACATAGTGCTGCTTCAAAACCAGTGGCTGCACCATCAACTCAGCCGACTCAGATCACCAAAAGTCCAATGATGTTGCAGGCATACAAGGACGTTGACCCCAAAACAACACAACCCTTTTGTGTGTGGAAGTAACTTTGCTTTTCAAAAGTTACCACTTTTTCAGTTTTAATCAAAATTGTCATTTCAGTTAGCTACTTCCAGATGCTTTTTTCCTGCATTTATAGATGTTAATGTTGCATGTAGGCATGGCCTTGCTCAATGAGTTAGGGAGAAAGTGTAAAATTTAAATGCAGACATATAAAAACAGACTCCCTTTGCCACAACTTCTTCCAATGCCTGCATTTCCTCCCTGGCTTTATTGAAATTGGATGGACATTCTAGGCTTGATCCCATTATGAGCTCGATCGAGCGATTTCAGAGATGACCCCTTGCCGCTCAAAGCTTTCACTCCCTCTCCATGCCCACCCCCCTAATGTGTCAGGTCCTGCATGACAAGCCAGACCCAAGCATAGCCTGTGTGGGCAAAGCTGCAGCACAGGAAGCTTTCAATTAGCATGGATTGAGTTTCATGGCCCCACTTACAGCCTCAGCAGCCTGACTCAGCATTTCCTCTATAAATAATTTATAACAGAAAGAGCAAATGGCAGAATTATGGCAGAGAATAGAAAGAGGGTGCAGTGTTAATGCAGGGAGTTATGTCAAGGAGGGATTCCTTTGGCTGGGTGGGGATGATGACTTCTCCCAGACAACGCAAGAGCAGTATCTGTCACCTCCAGTAAAAAGATCTCTGAAAAGCATCAACCAAACAGCTGTCAGAGAAAGCAGCTCTCTCTGGATTTTGCTTTACTTCTAAAGATAATAACCTCTTGAACGAGCCAATGATTTGCCAAGGCCCTTTGGCCTCAGAGGAACCATAAATGTTATAGATTTAACTCAGAGAGTCTCAAGTAACAGCTAGAGCTGAAGACAGGTACTAGTCACTGAGTAAAATAGCAAATGCTTCTTCTAAAGTCAATGTGGGGGTGCATGTGCACGTGTGCTTCAAAAGTCAAGGGTAGGCATATGTTTAATTTGAACTTTTGCAAAATAGAAAAATCTAGGCCATCCCCAAGTTAATCTAAACAGAACTCTTACCCTGAATCAATCATCTCATTCCATCGTATTTCTTTATGCAGCTTCTTAAACCAGGAAGAAAAGAAAAAGAGAAAATGTGGAAGTGGACAAAGAAGGACTCAGTCATGCATCTGTTGGGTGGGGGGGATTTCATAAAGGCAGAGCCACTACCAAAAGGGCCCTGTCACAGGATCTCCCAAGTGAATTTGTTAAATGACTAGGTGGGTGAACCGCTGTATTGCAGAACTGCTGTTCCTTCCAGAACTTTATCACTCCTCACTGTGTAAGAGGCAAAACGGCAATTGTATTTTCTCTTTCTAGCCACCAATAAAAGGAAACTGACCAGGAGAACTTTTGGACTTCTGTAGTTTCTATTTACAGCATTTTGGAGGAATTTTGGAGCCTTTGATCCTTTTAAGTCACCAGCTGTGTTGATGGTCTGCTGAATCAACCCCTTTTGGCCTCCATCTCTATGAAAACGGGAAGCCCTTCCTCTTCTTTTTCTATGGGCAAACCGAATTATTCATCCATCCATGGGAGGGAAGTTCAGCATCATTTTAATTCCACAGAATATCCTTGCAGAGACCACACAATTGCATTCTTAGCATTTTCTTTTTTTAAAGGTATGAGCTAGCAGGATGTTTGCAAATATCAGAGATGATAGAGGTGTAGAAAATAATTGACAGTATTGCTCCAGTCTGCAGTATTGTTATTATTTACATTTACTGCTGTAAACTGTTGTGCAGTTGGCAAGATTTGGCAACCTCTAAATGCAATAAACAAACAAACAAACAAACTTGAGCTCCAAGAGATTGGGGGGGGGGATTTTAGTAAACACTCTAATAATAAGGAACAACCAATTTCTAATAAACTTTAAAAGAGATAAAGGTATAAGCAGATGGCATTGAATAATAGCATTTTTCCCACCTCTCAAGATTGGAGAGAGGTGGAGATCTCATATCAAAGCTATTCTTTTGCTTGCCTGGTAGCCTCCCCCACTGGATTGCTGTTGCTTATCTAATATTAGAGAATACCCCAAAGCTGTATAATATCAACTATTCTATTTGCATTGTGCTAATGATGTGAAAGTGGTTACTGTTTGACTTCTGCAATCTCTTATCCTCTAGTGTTGATCCAGCACATTGGGAGGATACTAAATTGGGAAAGCTGGAGCAGTGGTATAGGATGATTTCTACAAAGCGTGGTCCCTCTCTATTCAAAAATAGATTTTGGCTGGGAGCTGTACATTTCCAATTGGACTCTAGATGCGAACAATTATAGGAACATGACAACAGCAAGATCCGGTGCATTCCTTGGGAAGCGCAACTTTGAACTCCTCCAACCCGTCTGCCCCGAGAGGAAATGGACAAGAAATAGCAGCCTAATGACTTTCAAGAGGAAATGTGGCCTTTCTAAAAATGAGTGGATCTTTAGACTTCTGCATGTTGCAAATGTGCTGGTAATTGGACAAATTGCCTTCTGAGAAAAAGTTGCTCATTCAGTTAGGAAATTTAGGGACCTCCTGCTCTGAGAGGGTAGGCGGCTAGAAGAAACATTTAGAAGGTATTTGTGAACTGGGGCAGTGTGGCATGGAACAAGTGGGAGCCTGCGTTGTCACCAAGTCTAGGAATGTGACTGAGTCAAGATATTCTCATTAAGTCTTCTGGCCCAGAATTTCATAGAAGGCAAAGTCTTATGTATTATGGTAATGCATGATTAATACCAACCCAAGAATCTGTCTGCCTAGGTTTTAACCAAAGCAAAAGTAACAGAATTCAATTTACACACCATCTTTAGCTCCTTTATATTGAGCATAACCCAAATGTGTTGATAATTTGGGATGGGCAGTAACATCCCTGATTTTAGTCTTGAATCACATAAAAATGGAGTGAACAGACATAATATGTTTTTATCTAGAATTTCAAAAGTCCTGGAAGTTTTAAACTTTGGTTCTTGAACATCAAAACAATCAGGGAAGACAGTGGTGAAATCCAAATTTTTTTACTACCAGTTCTGTGGGCATAGCTTGGTGGGCATGGTGTGGCTTGGTGGGCGTGGCAGGGGAAGGATACTGCAAAATCTCCATTCCCATCCCACTCTGGGGCCAGCCAGAGGTGGTATTTGCTGGTTCTCTGAACTACTCAAAATTTCCGCTACTGGTTCTCCAGAACCTGTCAGAACCTGCTGGATTTCACCCCTGATGGAAGGTTCTCAGGGATAGTTTAATTTCTTGACATCCTTTTTACGAGATTGAACTTTGTTCAAATTATCTGTTGCTTTTTGTCAGCAGAAACAGGCAGATTTGGCGTTGAGGAATCCACTCTATGTTATGAAATATTTCCAGATCAATTAATCAGAGACAGGTGCAAAATAATGGGTGAATGATAGGAGCCAATAGAAACAGCTAGAAACACCTTGAATTATCCAGACACAGTTGCCAGCTTCACTTTTTGGAGCCACCCTACAGATGCTCCTGAGTTTTGTTTGCTTGTTTGTTTGTTTTTACTATGTCTCACCTATAAGATAGTTTGCTACTATTTCTGATGTTATGTAAAGATTGCAGTATTGCTGCAGGTACTTGATGAATAGGCAAAACTGTTCTTTTTAAATAATTGACCTTTTATCAAAGGTCTTTAAATTTTACTAGATATGAAAACTTGCTTAACTCACCAGGCTTAATCTAAACCTAAAATCTTTTCTGGAAATGCTTGCTCTTCTTCAGATATTAAATATTTTGTCGAAAGATCCAGTAACTAACTTGAGAGATACACATATAGAGAAATGTGATTCAGAGACAGGAGTAGGTTAGCCTCATGCCATTAGCCATGGATCTATATTAGAGGAAGAGTGCATAACTTTCCCACTTGGTGTGGAACTTCATCTCCCATCATTCCTAGCCAGCATAGCCAGCATAGCCATGACTTGCTGGACATTAAAAGGAATTGTAATCCAACACATCTTGAGGGCATCAGTTTAAATAAGACAGATACGGCTGCAGTCATGCATGTGCTGGAAAAATGACCCACATTCAGTATGTCAGGATGTGGTGCAGTCAGAAATCTCTATCATTTCTAACTTTCTATAAGGTAACTGCCTCAAGGCAGTCAACAACATTTCTCATGTGTGGGAACCACACACAACGTTGTCCTGACAAAACGAAAGCATGGTCTAAAATACACAAACATGACTGAAAGAAGGAAAACCATGGAATTAAGGAATTATAAACAACAAAAAGAGACTCTGTTAGTGTTTATAAATCATCAGGATCTTCCGGTCTCATCTTATAAATTGTGGGAGTCCACACTGGTACATCCTCTTAAACCACCGAGGTGCTATTTTGTTCCCAGATCAAGTAATAAAAGTGTAATGGATGGGAATCGAGTCATTTTGTGGAGCGGGTTAAAAAAAGCTGCCTGTCTCTTTCTCTCCGTCTCTGCCTCTTCCTTTCCTAAAATGGAAAACCAATTCAGAAGGTCAAAACACTGCACAGCACATAAATAGAACTGGCTTTGCGAGCTTGGTGGATAAGCTCACTGTGTTCTAGCCCAGACCCAGCATAGTTTTCCAACAACAAAGATTTCACGCTGGAAAGGACGCACAAAAAAAAGAAAATTCACAGAGCAGGGAATACAGCATTACTGGTATAACTTTAGTTAATACTCTTTGTCCACTTATTATATTGTTTGAAAGAATATGTTTGTTTTAAATACACAGATGAAAAGAGAATGAAATATGAAGAAAATTCAAACAAAATCTTTTCATCAGCTTATTATTTTCCTCATCACTTATGGAAAAAAATCTTTCACATATAGAAGACTAAACTTCAACTCTGCAGACTCCTACTTCCATTATCTGGGTCAACATAGACAATGATAAGTGATGATGGGTATTGTAGTCCAAAACCTGGAAAGCATTTTATTGCCTGTGCTGCACTTCTATAGAATCTCATAACCATGTGAAATGAAAACAAAAACATTTTAAAGCCAAAACTGTGGTTTGATAATATGGCCAGCCAGACTTCACAATATCTTATTGCCACTCTGTGAAAATCTCTTTACATTTTTAGGTGTAGAAGATAAAGTCTGAAACAGTGGGCACGTATGACATGGAAATTAGCTTTAGCTTCACTTGCATTTCTGATCTCTTTAAAAAGAAAGCATTTTAAGCTTTCAAACACAAATATTTGAAATTTACAATTTAGTCCAGCAATATTCTCTGATTAATGTAATTAATTACTTGATTAATGTAATAAAGAAGTTTGAAATTTAAATGGATGTATCTTGTCGTAATCTGGACCATTGCTAGATAATGCCAATGAATACCAAGCACTAATAATAATAATTGGCAGCAATTCTCTGTGGCCGCTCCTAGTCCAGATATTTTTCTTTTATTATTGTACCATTTATAGTGCATTTAATAATATTTGTGTGATTACAGTAGTAGACAAAGTTGTGACAAGGTGAGATACAGTCTCCATTTTAAAATCTGGGACTAATTACCTCAGATTAGAAATGAAGCGATTTTACACAGCAATCCAAAAACTTTTAGGTTAAAATTTTCCTTGTTCTTCGAATATTCAAATAAATAAATAAAGTCATATTCAAATAAATGATTAATGAGGATAACAATATATAGATATATATTAGGTCGATGATATGAGAATCTAGGTAAATTGTAAATTGTAAGCTATGAATTTGGTGAATGATGCACAAAAGACTTGTAACCAACTGACATGCTGTTTGCAATTGAAGATGGTTTTATGTATGTTTGTTTAAAAATAAAAAACTTTTTTCAAAAAAAAAAGAACATGTATACTACACTTACTGTAAACTTGCAACAGTCATTAGAAACAAACACAGAAAAGTACCTTTTTTAAAAAAAGTAAAAGTTTTTGTAGTTGCTGTGCAAACCACTATGTGCATTTAATGCCTTAAATTTGTATATATAAATTGAATTGTCTGTGTATCTATGTCTGTCCGTGTGCATGCACATTCATTCATTTATCTCTCTCAATCCCTCTCTCCAAGGAGACCCACCCACAGGAAGGAACTGTCAGTCACTTTACTGGAGAAGAAAAATAGGAGCGGCACCACAGCAGGGAGATTATCCTATGGGAGGATATAATGGCCTGCAATCCAGACTGAACACCTTGCAAGCTGTTGGCAATCCTGTCAGTAAGAAAGGATTTTCTTAAGCTGGTTTAGAATCAAGTCATAAGACCATTTTAACCAGTTAGTACAGATGCACCATAAGACAAGTATTGTACATGTTATTTTACTTGATGCTTTCTATGCTTTTGTTAAAAAACAGATCTAACTTTGAATTCAGTTCAGTTTGGAACAAATTAATTA